CATGAACCGGTACTCTGGTGTATTTTTGTCCGAATTAACCCGATCGGAAATGTCGGAAGGTGATTTTCAAGGCAAAGACCCCATGTAACCACAGTAAATCGTATAGGTGTGACATATTTCAATTAGTGAGATAAGATTCTAACGTTGTTACTTCATAAAGACACTTTTTATTAAACATTTTGCTTTTATACGTAGAATTAAAATGAAGGCGAAGTAAAATCGTTAATATGGAACGCAGATCCCAAAAAAATTTATTAGTGATCATCATTACGTATATCATCTGCGTACACCCTATATTATCAGTTATGCAATTACATTCTCATGCAGATAATACGTATTAACGTAAGCAGGCCAAATTACCACAATATCGATTTAACTATATATATGATGATCTTATGACCATTCCAGGACAGGATGGTCGCCAAGATTTTTGTCTCTAGGAGCCCTATTTATGCATGAATGGCAATTAAAGAGCCAAGATTGATTTACAATTTGCATCTAATAACAGTCTTTGTATTGGGGTATTTTTGATATAGAAATTTGAATATAAAAGTTTAGACGCATAACTTTTTATCTTGGCATCTTTTTAAACACTTTTTCCAATTAATGTATTAATAGATATTAACCATAGACTAAAATGGGTTAGCAGTACGTACGGTATGGGATAACTTCGATGCCTTTTTTGTTTAAATCATCACATATTGACCATATCGATGTTAACCAAAGATTGCTTGGCGTTATCGGATTTTGTAATGAACAATATCAAACGGAGTACGTATCATATTATTACCTAAAACAACAATAGAGTATTACAAACTTAATTAATTAATAATAACGTATTTAAATGCTTTCACTAGCATATATTAACATTAAAATCCCTGGAGGTTTGTTTGATCCTGTTTAAGATCAGTGTGGGCAGACTGGTTCTGAAGAAACCCATTCATTTTCATCGTTCTAGGCCTTGATTTACTATCGCTCTTTTGAGTCAAGCAGAGCTGGTTTCTGCACTTTTAGTCCCTATAGTCCTTTTGTAAAGGCCTTGAATTTTATAACGATGAAAATACCTTTGATCTTTGTCTTGCTATTTGTGACCATCATAATAGCTTCTGAAGCTGCACCAATAATCAATCCTCCCAGCAATTACATATCGCTTGTCAAAAATTTTCCTCCAAAATATTTTAAATGGACCGAAACACGTAATTATCATAAACTACGTGCATTGGTTAAATATGAATCATCTATAAGAACGGCATACAAAGATGGTTTAGTAGATGACTCTGTCATGAATAGCCTCGATGCTCTAAATTCTCGAGAGAAACTAAAGAAACGGACGACTTCTAATGTTAAGATTGGTGACATTAATAATGATATTGGGTATTTTGGCACAATATCAATTGGTGGTCAAAGTTTTAATGTAATTCTTGATACCGGTTCAGCAGGTAACAAAAATAAATAAATTTTAGAATTTTCGTGGGTTTTTTTTTTAATTTTTTTTTTCTTTTTTGTTCAAACATTATACTTGTGCAGATCTATGGGTTCCTTCTTCAGGTTGTTCATCTTCTGCCTGTTTAAATCATACAAAGTTTAATCAAGTAAAATCATCAAGTTTTCAATCTTTGAGCACACCTTTTTCAATCAAATATGGCACTGGTTCAGTTTCTGGAACTTCTTGTACAGACAATGTAGTTATTTCAGGCATAACTGTTAAAAATCAAGTTTTTGGCATCACAACAACTGAATCTAATGAATTCACAGGCTCTCAATTCGATGGCATCATGGGTTTGGCTTTTGACAATCTTAGTTCACAAGGAGCCTCAACACCATTCTCTAGCATGGTCCAGCAAAAGGTTGTCACTCAGCCAATATTTGCATTTCGTTTATCTAGAGCGGCAGATCATGATACAGGTATTATTACTTTAGGTGGTGTTGATATCAATTCATTTACTGGAACAATTAATTTTGTTAATGTGGTTGAGCGTACTGGATTCTGGGAGATTCCCATGAATGATGCTTCGGTTGATGGCAATTCTCTTGGTTTCAAAAATAGGAGTGCGATTATTGATACTGGTACTACATTGTTAATTGCACCACCAGCTGATGTAGATGCTATTCACAGAAAAATTCCTGGATCTGTGTTATTACAAGAGGGAGAATACGCTGTTCCATGTGATACAAAGACTAAAGTAGCTTTAAAGTTTAATGGTGTTAGCTATAGTATTGATTCAAGAGATATAGCTCGTGATCTTGTTTCGGCCATAAAAAATCTTTGCTTATCTGGGATTAGTCCTGGTGTCGTGGGTACAAATAATCAATGGCTTGTGGGTGATGTCTTCCTTAAAAATGTTTATTCAGTATTTGATTTGGGTACGCGTTCTGTTGGATTTGCACTACCTCGTTAATCAACATTCATACGTTTTATTTATAATATTAAATTGGGAAAATGGGATAATAAGGGTAAAATACATTTAATTGTATGTACAAATTCAGTAGAGTAATTTTTCAGACAAAAACAATGATCATTATTCGAATCAATAAGCTGTTTTAGAACTAAACCCGTGGGTTGTTTCTTTAATCTAAGGTCTTCCAGATCTTTTGTACAGAAAAAAAATAATAGATTAAAATTAATTAAAATTACGTTCTATATTGTGATAAATCAGTTTCGTCCACTAAATTGGCATATCAATTATAACAAAATAAGTAATATTAAACTATCGTCATTTCTTTTTAATTGATGTAGAGGTTGGAATCAAATGTTCAATTCATTTGAATATTCAAATTCATTGAATTTGAATTAATTTGAACCCAATTATTGTATGTGAATTTGTATAAATTTATATAAATGGGCTAATTAGAGTTTAAAAAAATAAACGCAAACAAATTTGCCTGTATTACAATTTAAGGGATAAGGTTATCTTGAATATTAAAAAAAAATAAATAAATATAGAAAATTACTACGATTTACAGGCTTTGAAATTCACATCTCCGTTTCAAAAAAGGTTTCTATTTAAGTTAGGGTTGGGTTAAGGTTATAATAAACAAAAAACTTTATTGTAAAATTTAGCAAGGAATTTTTTTATTTATAACACTAAAGACAGTTTTATAAGTATACATTATTGGTTCAACCGGGCAAATGAACACGTGCCGCTTTGCGGCACGTGTCAGCCAATCATTTGCCCGGTTGAGCCAAATTACTGTTATTTCAAAAATTTGCCGAATAATGGTGTTATCCGATAATTTATGATTATGATTGGTAGGGAGTCGTCGGCTGAGTTTTAATTCGAGTAAATGTAAATATTTCGTAACACATGAAAAAAATAACAGACAGAAATAAATTCATGATCATAAGAGTTTGTCGGATAATGTACACTTATTATACCATTAACTTTTGGTATAATTGGTATAATATTGGTATAATATAGATAAACCAATAAAATTTGGTTAATACTATGTATGACTATAGAGTTATAACCTGATTTTTAAATCATATATTATTATACCATTATTATGTGTTATTATACCATATAATAAGCAGTTATTATACCAAAAATATATTATACTATATAATTACATCCCTAGTTATAAGTAATTTTTTGATTTTTTTATAAAAAAAAAATTGGTTTGTTATACAAAAAAAATTAGCAGATCATGCTAATTCTGCAATTTTGATTAGTTAGGTGCAGGGCTGTAAATTTCACAGCCTGTTAAGATTAGCAATACTTATAAATATTAAAAAAATTAAATATAACCAAGAATTTATTAACTAGTTTAATTGATGATCCATAAGTCAACTAGACAAACTATATAGTAAAACATGACTCAAATTACTATATAAATTACATATGTCTCAAATGCCATGATCGTCCAAGGAAAACTTTTTTCTTATTAAGCTAATCAATCTTCTGTATTAAGAGAAAGTTGTAGAGCTCATTAAGATGCATCTAATGGTGGTTAGATCGTCCAAATCGGTCAAGTGAATATCGAGATATCATTAAAAAAACGTGTCAATAACTATATAAAATTTCTATAAAAACAATATATTGTTTCTATAGAAATTTTCGAAATTTTACATAATCACTAACACATTTTTTAATGATATTTTGAGATTCACTAGGCCAATTTGGATGATTTAACTACCATTAGATGTGTCTTAATAAGCTCTACAACTTTCTCTTAATACAAAAGATCAATTAGCTTAATAAAAAAAAGTGTTTTCTTGGATGATCGTAGCATTTAAGATATATGTAATTTATATAGTAATTTAAGTCATGTTTTACTATATGGTTTGTCTAGTTGACTCACGGATCATCAATTAAAAATATAAAATTAGCATTGTATTAATATTTATTTTTTTTTTATAATTTAGCAATTCTGTTTAGGTTTATTTAGAATTCTAAAAATAATCAAAATATTTAAAGAACTTCTATTAGAGATTCATCCAAATTAAAGATTCACTTGTGATATATCAGATAAAAATCTGTGATTCATCAAATATAACTTGTTTTAATAGTTTTTGATCTTTCTTAGGGTTTTTAACTTATTATATAAGAATTTTTTTTTCTTTGTTTATTAGCTAGTAGCTACCTACTTGTCAAAATACAAATTATAAAAACATAAAAAAAATAAGTACAAAAACAAAACACAAAGGCATAGAGAAATATAATAAAATATACAAGTAAAAAAAGAAAGAGAAAAGAGAGTAATAAGAAAAAAAAAAAAAATTTATCTATTCTAATAATTACAATTTTAAATTTGTATTGAGCTTGTAAAATTATATACTATTAAATAAACTACTTAATATATAAAGTAAATATCGAATACAAATTAACTTTTTTTAATGATCTTTTAGTTAATAACAAAAAAATTAAACTATAGTAAACAATATAGAAAAGTAACAAAGCAGACATAAAAATTCTCTTTTACTAAACAAACTTGCTATTAACAAAGCTTATATATATAAAACACCAAAGTGCAAATGTATAACAAAAAGCAGATCTGTATTTTAGATCAAGCTCTTTTTTTATAAACTGTTATTAATGAAGTTCTTAAATATGATATACCAAAATACAGATATTTGCAGACAGTTTATACAAAAAACAAGCTTTTGTTTTTATCAGTAAACTTCTCTATATATTTAGTATTCAAACTAGAGGAGTCTTTGAAACAGTAAAAAAGTAAATTCCTTTATATTTTTAATATCTAAACCAAAAAGATATTTTGATAGTAATGTTATTACAGGTCTTTAGACAAAAATATTTAATAAAAACTAAGAAATTAGACTATACTTTTATAAAATACAAGAAAAATCCTATATACTTTTGCTAGTCCTCTACTTTTTTTTAAGAAAATTTTTTGTAAAAAGTAAATGTTTCAGCTTATTCTTCTAAAAGATTGATATCACATATACTAAATAATCAAAATTATTTACTTTTTAAATTAGTATAACAAAACAACAAATATATCAAAATATATATCTTAAATATAACAATCTAATTAAACAATATTTTAAGACTTAAATCAAGAGATCTCCTTTAGTATAGGTAGACATATATAAATTTATAACAAGATTTTAATATATAAAATCTAACTAATTTGAGCCAATTTAAATTTTAACCTTAATTTTAACCCTAATAAGCTATAAAATTACTTAAATTAATTCAAAATATTTAATTTATATATATTATAATTGTATAATAATTATATATATCCATCTATACTAAAGATCAACCAAATTGAGTATCACCTTCTCTATATTCTTTTGGTCAATGAAGTTTTTTACTGGTTTTTAATTTTATATAAATTTAAAGTAGGAACTAGTTTGTTTAGTAGTATATAATTTTTACAAACCTTTTATAGAATTATAAATAAAATATTAGAATAAATAAATTTCTACTTTTTCTTTTGTTTTTAATACTCTTTTACTTTTTCTTTTCTTGCTTATATATTTTATTATTATCTTCTATACTTTTGTATTTTTTTCTTTTATATAGGCTTTCTTTGATTTAGCTTTTTGACAAAGCAATACAGCTGCTTCAGCTAATGATCAAAAAGCTCAAATCCTCAGATAGTTAAAAATCTAATATAAAGCAAATTGCTGCTAGATAGTGTTGTACTTAAGCTATAAAGTTGAATAAGTTTTTATTATTATAGAAATATAATATAGAAAGTTTTGTATATCTATTAACAATAATTTTTTGGTACTTTTAATAAAATAATAATAATATAACTATCAATAAAAAAAAGTAAATATTTAATAAAAAAAACTTTATTAATTTGATTATTGTAAAAAAATTAGAGCAAAGTCTCAAATTATTATTTGTATAAATATTTTTGTATTTAAAATACAGTACATATTTGTTGCTACTACTATTTACTATTACTATCTGCTAATAAATATATAACTAAATAAACTATTTTAGTTATATTCAATTTAATTTGAGAGAAGAATAATGCTGACTCATTGATGTATATAATATTAATCTTTTGAATACCAAATATTTTAAAAAGTTTATTTAAGAGAAGTAGATTTAATTTTAAGAAAATTACTAAGAAATATCTTAGTATATTATATTTAACTTAGATTTTATTAATAACAATCTACTTATAGTAGAACCAAAAATAGTATTTATTTAGTTATTTTTTTATACTGTTTTACTATAGTTTAGTTTATTGTTATTGATTAAAAGATTGTTAAAAAAATTATAGAAAGATTTGTATATTAATATTTATTAAAAAAATAAATTTTATAAAAAAAACAAATATTTTTTAAAATATTTATATTATTAATTAATTTATCAGTTAATCAAAAAGTAATTTTAAGAAGCTCTAGACAAGATTCAAGAAGATACAAGACCAAAGGCCAAAGTAACAAACCCAACAGAATGATTGATTGAAGTAATATATCAAATAAGCATTAAAAACTCACAGATGAATAGTAGAGTGTGGAAGAAGAAAAAGAAAGACCTACTTATAAAATAGGTACAAGTTTTGAAAACTCAAAAAAACTTTGATATAAAATAGATTCAAGATACTCTAATGCACAAGCAAAAAGAAGTCAAGAATTAGAAAAAGAAGAAAAAAGATATGTTATTCAAGATACTAGAGAAGATCTTTGTAAAAATCTTTGAAAACCGGAGTATCTAGAGTGAAGTTCAAGAAAAATTTTTGAAAAAAAAACCAAAGCCTAGAAGGAAACAAAAAAAGAAAAAGGTAAAGTAAGAAGAAAAAAGGAGACCTATGAATCTAGACCACAATAGGAAAAGAGTTGGAGCAGACTATCTATAATTTAGAAGTGAAAAGACCAAAGGAAGGCCCAAGACATTTTGAAAAAAAGAAGGTTTACAGAAGAATATGTCCAGAAAAGCTTGGTAGAAAAAGTATGCAAGAAGTAGAAAAATACCTT